GATACATTTCGTTTTATTGTCACTCTTGCGCAAAATCAGCAACGAAATAAAAATAACAAACAAAATACAAACCAACAACAACAAAAACAAGAAACAATGCGGCTACTTTCGATTGGGACTTCAGATGGGAATGGTTTGTTTTCTTCTTCTTGATCAGTCCTGCCTAAGATGGCCACCTGTCTTATACGGCCACTTTTCTCCTTGACAATGGATGGCCGTCTTACACAGGTTTGATTGTACCTTTAATCTTTGGCAATTATATGACCTATTTGTGTTGTGAATACCATAAAACTCTGACTTAAGTTAAACAAAAACTATGGAAAGATTTGTAACCCTATGTTCTGCTTTTGCTATCCTCTGTCTGTTGTCTTGTTTTGTTTTTTGTTTTATCTCAGCACTCTGACTATCATTAAGATGCCGTCTTTTTTTTTTTCGTACTTAAAATTGTCAAACAATGATTCCCAACAAAACATCTTGTAATTCCTAGGTCCACTTTTACCTGCTTCAAAGACTTGGACACTGTCAAACCATTCCTGGAGGAAAATAATCAAGCCAAAGAAGTCTGGAGTAGTTGTCTCCCGTTTGGTGCTCTTCAAGAAGAAGTGGTCACAAAAGTGAAGGAAGCCTTTGATCTAGAGGTCTGTGCATCCTTCACTGTTTTGTTTTTTTATCAATATTTTTGTGCCGACAAGTGAGAAGGAGACGTTTAGCTGTTCAGGTCTAAAAATAATTTTTAATGTGTGCTTCTGTAAATGTTAAAATATTATATTTGTTCTTATGTTGTTATCGATCCAGCAACAGTTAAAATGTTATGTTTAACAATAAAAAATGTACAGTCCAAAAGACTGTTTACCGACTGGATAGGATTGGAAAAATGTATAGGTTTGTAAATGCTTTGTTTTATTACTTAGGGTATGCTGTTTGTAGCATAATAATCAGCAAGTGAGTCTAATCTCTAAGCTTACTTGATGTTCAGGATATTATGTTGTAAGTTTTTTTGGTTTTTTCTTTAGATGATGGCTGGTAGGTTTCCATAGTTTTAATCTAGATTTAACCCTTTCGCTGCAAAGGTTTCTTTACAACTTAAATAGGAGACCATGACAGTCTCAGACCTGGCTGTGAAGGGGTTAAAAAATGCCAAGACATGAGTTAACGTGCAAGAAAATTGTTGTTGGGTCTGGGAGACTGAAAAATAAAAATGATCATAATAATAATGATAATAATGATTGCATCATGCAGGACAACAGCCTGTTCAAAGCAATCGTGTGGTAGGTTGGAGGGCACCACAAATGATCTATAATGTGTCCATGGGGATGCAAGGAAATTAATGGAATTTAGATTAAAATGCTGATTTGGATTTCTGATGACACCTGAAGTATGGAAATACTTGTTCTGACATACGTTGCTAATTGTTGTTGTGATTTTACCCAACTCGTAACAGAAAGGAAATCTTAATGCCCAGTTAGGGGACTTATTTTTTAAAAAGTTTTTTCAACAAGGAGTAACAAAAGGATTGGCCTTTCCTCACTGGCTGCTCAGTAACCCCAAGCATCTTTAACTCTTTCCATACCCATCTATGATCTATCATTAACATTTGGTCCCACCTGCAAGTCCCAGTCGATGATCGGACGTGACTATGCTATTACTATTATCTCGCATGCAAACAACCTTTTTTTTCCCTATCTTTATAGACCTATTCAGTGTATATTCTTTTCTTTAAGTCCTCATCCTCTTATTTAAAAAAAAATTCTTTAGTCTTTATTTTAATACATAACATGTCGACCCTATATGATGTCTGGTAACTGGCTTCTCCCAACGTCACATTCAATCACTCATATTTGCAACACACTGGTCTAGCACAAATGTGATGTGGAAAACTTTGGGCTGTATGAGATAAACTGTGTCCAGCCCAGCATAAATGTATGTTGTTTTACTAAACTAAAGACAAAAGCAAAATTCCTTCCCTCTTTTAACCTCTCCACAGCACACCCCCCCCCCCCCCCTGCCCCTTCTAGTCCACTTATAGTTGCTATTATTATGTTTGAGCCAGACAATCAAGACGAGCACCTTAGATGCCTTTGATGTCCGATGTGATCCGAAGAACTTGCACATCGTATTTCCCGTCATTGCCTTCAAGAATGTCACGAGCGTGAAGCGCCTCATTTGTCAGGCCACTAGCGACGACACCACTGGTACCATCAAGGAATCATACGTTCCCAGGTACCCATTGTCAGCATACTGTTTGGGACGACATGTGTACAAAGTCACACACAGGGCGGTGCTACTGACTGAAGTGTCTTTAGGCCATTCCCAAAAGGGGGACATTAATAGGTTCTTATCCTCAATAGAATTTTAAATTGTAAATGGGCTGATTCATCTATGTCATGCTCATAACTGTGTGCTTGAACTGCAACAGGGAACTGCTATTTTTTAACTTTCTTAATCTTTACTATCGTCATTTTTTTCCTCTACTGCTTTTGTATGTTTGTCACACTTTTGTAACGCGCTATTTCCGTGGTGGGCCGTTGGCGGGTGCTCTGGTGTGGTTTGCCTCTTTTTTTCTATCAAACATCTATCGTTCTTATCTCCCCTTCTTCTTTTTTATGTTTATTACTCTCTTGTAACACCTCTAATCTTCTGGTGCTCATATAACCTTATGCAGTTGCGAGCCACTATTTCCGGGGTGCCTTGATAGTGGAAACAGACTTTGTGCTGTTGAAACTATAGAGGTGAGCAGAGTAAGCCCGATTCCCTGTAAGGACTTCTCTGTTGACATCCACCCTTTGGCGCTCATATGACCTAACGCACTTGCGAGTGCAGTAAAACCTCTACTAAAACTAAACGGGTTTAATAGCAACGGGTCTTATGTGTTTCTTGTCAATGTGTTGTTTTAGTCACTCAAGCCTTGTCATCGTGTATTCATTCTATACTGTTGAGACAAGGTGAGTCAACTGAATTACAGAATTATTCTGATAAAAAGAATATTCCAATTTATGCACACTCATGATATCAGAAACTGATATTAGAAAAGATGATATTTGTCTTTTTAACAATTTAATGATTTTTATGATTTTCTATCTGTAGCTGACATCTCAAGCAATCCATCCGTAGCACAATTGCATCATAATGTACATCCATCTCAGATTGGGTTGGCCCTGACAGGCAGGGTCAGAAGACCGCCTCCTAAATGATCTATAATGTGTCCATGGGGGTGTGAAAACACCTGTATTAAAAAATTAAACAGTAGTGTTGACAGTAAATGTCTTTTAACTTTAACGCTTTTTTTTTTTACTTCGTGAAGCTCACTCTTTAGGTGCTTTTTCAAAGTTATTTAAATAAAGGCTAGGTCGATTTTATTCATTTATTGACATTGAAGTTTCAATTATCAACCGCAATAAACGACTTATTTCCAAGAAAGCAAGAATGGTCAGATATAGAAATCATTTGTGCCGACTGCAGTGAGGTTACTGAGCACACAGTGCTACAAACGAAATAGAGAGAAAGAGAGAGAGAGAGAGAGAGAATGTTTATTGAGTGGAGGTGTTTCAGTCCATAATTCATGCCCTTTCTTCTTGAGTATATGCATGAATGCTCATGAACTTTGTAACACCACTGCCGTTGTAAATGACCAAGACAAATTTCTCCCTGCAAGATAAATAGATATTGTCATAGTCTTTTCATTGTATTTTGTTCCAGTACAGGTTTTATTCATGTATTGTATTTTGTTCCAGGACAGGTCCATCCTTTGTGTTTGGTCTGGACACTGTGCGGCAGGGCGTGACGGAGGTCGTGCTGACCACCTCTGAGCTAGACGCCATGGCAGTGACACAGGAGACGAACAAACCGGCCATTGCTCTGCCCCGCGGGTACAGCTCCTTGCCGCAGGAGGTGACATTTTGGTCTGGGAGACTGAAAAATAAAAATGATCCTAATAATAATGATAATAATGATAGGACAACCGCCTGTTCAAAGCAATCATGTGGTAGGTTGGAGGGCACCACTTGGTAGGCTGTACTTCTTTACTCTTCCTCTGTTTTTTATATAGATCTGTCTTGCATCTTTCTAGCACTAAATGATTCTTGCTATGTCTTTGTTTTCTCATGAATCAAAATCGATCAGAAATTAAAATCTGATGCATGACACCGGGGCAGAAGAGCATAAACAAGGAGAGAGATGCTAGAGAGCACCTCCGGTAGACCCAACTTCTTCTCCTTCCCTATGTTATTCCTATCTGTCTGTCATTCTTTTTCCCTTACACTAAATGACCTATAGTGTGTCAGTGTGCTTCTCTTTACTCAAGCAAACCATTGTCTTTCTGTTCCCCTACACTAAGTGAACGATGTTGTGTTTATGTGCTTCTCTTTACTCAAGCAAACAATTGTCGTTCTTTCCCAGGTGTTGCCAAGTCTAGAGAGGTTCAGGACTATAGTGCTGTGGTTCGGAGATGATGTGCGGGCTTGGGAGATGGCCAAGCTTTTTTCCAAAAAACTCAACAGTCGTAGATGTCACATCATTAGGTATGAATTAGGAAGATGACCAAACGTTTAAAAAAAACCCAACTCAACAGTCGTAGATGTCACATCATTAGGTATGAATTAGGAAGATGACCAAACGTTAAAAAAAACCCCAACTCAACAGTCGTAGATGTCACATCATTACAGCAGTGTCCCAAGCAATCCACTTAAGTCTGGGTACTCTTTACATCAGAGAGAAAAAAACAACAAGTTCTTGTTGTGTTATTCCTGTCAGGAATCATGAACTGCATTTTGGTGATGTTGAAAAGTGTATCTTTGATAGAGCTTTGAGAGGGTGTAAAAATAAAAATTTTATCAAAATTCGAACTTATAAAGAATAGCATTTGTAGGTCACAAGGAAAGCTATAAGAAAATTTAACAGCACTTAACCCTTTGAGTCCTGACCTCCTGATGCTACCGTGCCCCTCTGCCTGAGTTCCTGAGCAATGTATTACTACATTCATGTGATCGTCAGAATTACGTTCTGTATGTCACTCATGGTAGTCTTTGTCATTGCTAGCATCTAATTCAGAAAGATCTTCAAAATAATCAATAACGTATGTAGTAAACACTGTTTCCTCACTCATTTTGTTCCTGGTGGGCCGGTTTTGGGATATGGTCTCGCTCACCGCTGTACCAGTGGCTAGGCATACGAGCAGTTTTACGTGCCACCGGTGCACCAGTGGAAAGGGCTTGAAGGATTAAGTATCATCAGTTCATGTTGAGTGGATTATTATTATTATTATTATTATGACTTTAACTGTTATTATGATATTTACAATAATTATTATTATTATTATCATTGTCATTATTATTATTATCATGAAGTTTGAAGCAGATATGTGGAGAGACAGGGCTGTTTAGTGGATGTCATTGACATCTCTTTTCATACTTTGTTTCATTGTATCAATCCTACTGTCTTTGACCTATTGTGCGCCCCCCCCCACACACACACACACAAGGCTTTACAAACTGTCAACCAGTTACCATCATCACATGCTCTTTATTTATTACGATTACAGCCAAACATTCTCTAACAGCCACCTGATTTAGTGGCGTCAATGGCCTAGTGGTTAGTCTACCAGACCCGTAATTGTGAGATTGCAGACTGTCTTTGGGAAATCAGGCTTGCCAACCTTCCTGAATTTTCAGGAAATTCCAGAATTGCCATCGTCGCGCG